GCCGGGCCGGCTGCTGCCCGCTCCTCCTGGGGGGCCTTCGTGGGGGAGAGGGAGCCGCGGAGGCCGCCTCGAGCCCTCCGGAACGCGCGGGCCCGGAGCCGTCAGGGAGCCCGCGAGGCCGCCGCCGCCTCTTCCTCCTCCTCTTCTTCCTCCCAACGGGCGGCCCGAGGCAGGTGGGTGGCGGAGGGGGATCCCCGGAGGGAATCGCGGGCGGGAATCCAGGAACGGCCGAAGTAATTCGCTGGGGAACTCGTTACTAGGAACGAAGGAAGGAATTGCGTTGCCCAGCCGGGTTTTGTGTGTGTGTGTGTGTGTGTGAGGGGCGGGGCGCTCAATCTGAGTCCAGCCCGGACCAGGTTGGGTCGAGGCCTTGCCCGGGTGTCCTTGGAAGGGGGATCCGAAGGCCATCTAGTCTAGCCCCCACCCTCACTCCAAGGCCTCCCCAAAGGACCACCCCACCCTGACCCAGGCAAAGGATCAACAGGCAGAGCTTTCCCTTGGGAGATATTAAATCGGTGTGAATGTTGGTTAGCCAGCAGAGCAAAGAGCCGCCCTGTCCCTGTGCACCTCTCAGTCTCCCCCCCCATTGTTCTGTCCTCTGGAGCCCTTAAAGGAGGCAGAAGAGGGACCTTCGATGAGGTTATTAGGGGTGCAGCCATTGGTGGTGGTTGGCCCCATAACCAGCCAGCAACCCCCACGGACTAAGCTATGGGCTGTCAGAGGGCGGGAGGCAGAGCAGCCCTCTTACCTAGGCGTCCTTCCTGGAATGAATGGAGCCGCCTTGGCAAATGGTAGGTAATTGGGAAGGTGCCATGTGTACGGATAGCTTGGCGCCTGACTGGAATTGCGCTTGGCTCCTAATCTGCCCACCTTGTTGGCGGCTGTGATTCATTCTCTGGATGCCTCCAAAGGCCATGCGATTCTGGCTAGCCTTGAGCGTTGGAGAAAGGCGGCACGGGGCAATGCTTCGATGCAAAGTGCTGGGCTTCATGACTTTGGGGGAATCGCTATTAGATGCTGGCCTGTGTGGCTTGGAAATGAATGGACGGGGATGAGGCAACGTTCTTCTGCCTGCTTTGGGCTGTGCTAATGAAACATTTCTTCTTTGGGCGTCCAGGTCCACAGCGCCGCTGGACAGCTATTTCCAAGTTGGCAGAACCCAACGCAACTCGCGCATCCTAGCAAGTACCAGTGGGAACAGTTCAGACGACACTGTGGTCCTGAGTGACTCTGACAGCAGTAGCAACAGCGCCGTGGAGGCAGAAGAGGAAGAAGCCGAGTCGGCCGGAGCCATTGAAGAGGCATCCGTGGCTGTTCACGTGGAAGGTGTGTCTTGCTTCCACATCTTCCTGTGAAATAACCCACGCTAAATTGACCTCCATAGTTCAGGGTTGCCTGTACGCATCTTATGTTCAACACTTTCTGTAATATGTTTAGGGCAGCCTGCCTCAGAGAAGTATCAAGTTTGTCTTTTCATAATTACTACATGCAATAGCCCAGGCATTGAAGGACCTCAGCAAAGCCAGATAGATGGCTTCATGGCAGGTCAGAGACTTGAAGCTAGGTGTTGCATTGAGGGGGAAATTATTTTGGGGACATGAGTTCCTTACTAATTTACACCGTTTTGTTTGTTTGTTTCATTTTTCTATTGTTAAGTCACCTGTTAAAATAGTCTGTAAGCGCCTCTGTCTTTCTTGAGGAGAAGCCTGGCCTCTTTTTTTAAAAAATCTATGTAGCTATGGGTACATTTTTGGTTGAACTTTTTAAATTCTCTGTACAGATGAATTTGACAGGAACTTGAATTGCATACTTCCTTTGAAATCCCGCAGCTTGTTTGAGAATCTGTAGTCTTTTATTTCTGTGGCATTAAAGACATTCTTGTTCCATCCTTCCGTGTATTCCTGACACATTTGTTTCTCTTCTGCAGTCTCTAGCACAACCTCTATGGAGCCTCCAGGGTATAATTCTGATGAGTCAGAGCACCCTGATACTGGAAGCCTCGCTACCCAGCAAAAGAAGGTGGGAAGAATTAGGAGGTTTGCATCTAGGATGAAGGAGGTTTGTGCTGACCGGGTTCTCATTTGCCTGATCTCTCTCTTTCATCCACTTTTTCAGACGACTCCATTAAAGAGAAGCAGTCTGGCTGCACCTCTTGTTCCTTCAGAGGAGGAGGAGAGCGGTGATACTTGTGCCATTTGCTTTGAAGAGTGGACAAACGCTGGAGACCACCGTCTCTCTGCCCTGCGCTGTGGGCATCTCTTTGGCTACAGTTGCATTGAGAGGTGGCTGAAGGGGCAAGCGGGAAAGTGCCCACAGGTACGAGTTGCCACCTTGTCAAAGACCATTCCCCTGAGAGATCCCAAGGGAAAGGGAATAAACTTGATGGTGGAGGTGGGTGGGAGAGAAGGGGACACAGAAAGTCTTTTGCCCAACAGGTCTGCGACTGCAGGCTTGTCCCAGATACCTGCGTTGTTTCAGCAGTATGAGATGCTGAGAATTTGTGGTTTTGCCAAGTATGTTCTTGAAGGATGTGCGTGAATGGTTGCCGATGGATACTGCACCTGCAATAAAGGAAATGCACCAGTCTGTTCCATTGTTGAACCGAAACCCCAAGCCTGGAAAGGGATTTTTTGAATCCTTAATGACTTACACAGACCTTCCTTTCTGTAACTCATACCTTCCTGCCTCGTCCTCAGAGCGGCTAATTTCCGTCTGTCAACACATTGTCTCCTTTTCTCTCTCCTTCCTGACCCATTGATTTTCATGCCATTCTTCCTACAACCTCTCTTCTTGTGGTTTGCCTTATGTACATCTATTTTTCACTGCCCTTCTCCTAATTCTTTGAGGTTTCTGGGTCTTGGAAAGGATGGCAAATAGTGCCATCATGCACCCAAAATGATGGCAGTACTTCAGATAAGGCTAGTGTGGAATTGAGTAGGGCCTCTCCAGTTCAGGAGGGGTGGGCTGCAGTTAAGCAGTAGATCTACCCTTCTCTGTAAGATGCTAGTTGCCTCCTGTTTGATGGTCTTTGTGTGCAAGCGGAAATAGAGTGCTTCTTTAGCTTTGCTTCTGCAAAGACATTTCCTTGACCAGCTGTACCCCTGGTACTGCACTCGTATTGTGTGACAACCATAGATTTCTGAACAACAGCAGAGGGTGCTTCACATTTGTTCTGTTGTTTTCTTTCTTTCCAGTGCAATAAGAAGGCTAAGCGTTCAGACATTGTGGTCCTTTATGCCCGTACTTTAAAGGCATTGGACACCAGTGAACACGAGCACATGAAAAGGTAGGAACTTTCAACCTTTCTGCTCTTTTCTTGAGGAAAGAGTACCCACCCTGACCGCCTGGTTTGTCCATCTATTCTGGAGACCTTTCGTACCTTGTGCCTCAAGAAGCTCAGTCTGCACAGGACGTGGATTATCTGTGAAAATAGAGACGACTCGTGTCTCAACGTCAGAATTTGGCTCAAAGCCTGTTACTAATATATTAAGGGTTTGGGTGTCATACGTGTAGACTAGTTTGCTTCTGAAGCTCCTGTTTGTTTGGAGGGGTTGTAATTGCGTATACTCAAGTCGCAATGAGAGGAGTGTCGTTCTTCTGGACTGGATTTCTTGGGGTCAGGCAAAAGCTTAAGATCTGTTCAGGGGTATCTGTCAAAACTTCAAGAGACCCTTTGTTGAGTTTTGCCTGGAAGTGTCAGCATAAGGTCTGTTCAGGGGTGTCTGTCAAAACTTCAAGAGACCTTTGTTGAGTTTTGCCTGGAAGTGTCAGTAGTAGGGAGAAAGGCAAGTTGGTAAATAAGCTTCCATGAGGCTGCAGGTTTTGAATCTGGTCCAGTAAATACGGCATCCGTCTTATTTTCTTTCTGCAGCTCCTTAGAAAAGGAGCAAACGTTGCGAAGGAAGGCAGAACTGGAATCAGCCCAGAGTCGCCTTCAGCTGCAAGTCCTGACCGATGAGTGCAGTAAACTTCGGCAGCAAGTTCAGGTGGGTTTAGGTGCAGCTTGTTCATGCAACAAGTGGTACATCTCTTCCCACCAGTTCTTCCAAAGCCCATTGATCTGCCCATTGATTAGGAAGCACCTTATATCCCACTCTGTTTGCTGGTGGGGTGGGGGAGAGAATAACAATATATGACCTCTTTCTTCCCTGAACTTGGCAGAATTTGAATGTGTAAGCCAAAGATTTTCAGTATGAAGTGAGAGCAGGAAATTGTAATATTTCCCTTGCCAGATGTGGACTGGGAAGGGCAGGGTTCAAATTCTTCCTTGGCCATTAGTTCTCTAAGTGACTTTGGTGGCTCCATTCTCTATAATCCTCAGGTCACAAATATTTCCTTGTACCACTTATAAAATACGCTGATTGTGTTGGGTATGTGTTGTTCCCAAAATCAGCAACAGTGTGCCTCTTATTGCTGTGGAGCACGAGAGGCTTTATGTATTTGGGTTTTGTGCATACCAGCCTGCATAATCCTGTCAGTTCTCCCCATCTCAAGGCATATGAAGGGAGCAGTATACCCTCAACTTTACCTGGCCAAGGAAGAAATAATAAAGACTTCACAAGAAACAGAACTAAATAGACCAATGTTGGCTCAAAACCTGCCCAGCCCAGGAGCCATTGTACAGAGTAAGGATGCTACCTTGTTAGAGAGATAGGTACTTACTGTATAAACTTGCCGGAAGGAGCAATTAGACTGACTGAACTGTTGCGCACTGAGGGGCTTCTGGATCTGGAGTCCTTCTTGTTCTGTGACCAAAACAATGAGCCTGTTGGTCCTAACTTATTAAGGGGTAAAAGCTCATGAAAGCATCCAGTACTTTGAAATTTTGTTGTGATGTCTTTCTCCCGTCCAACTTTCTGTCCTGCAGGAGCTGAAGGCATTGATGGCCCGGCATAATACCAGTTCTTCTCAACAGCCCAGCAGTTCTCGCTCGTGTTTCCCAGGCTGCCTCTCCCCCAGCCCAGACCAGCACAAGTATCACTTCGAGAGAGCCTTTCTGGTGTCCCAGGTTGGCAACTGCCGGGTCATGGCATACTGTGACCCGCTGAGCTGCCTTGTGGTGTCGCAGCCCTCCCCGCAAAACACGCTCATTCCTGGTGAGTGGCTGGCCGTACATAGCAAGTCCCTGAATGTTGTCAATGGGAGGGAGGGTGGGTGTCTTTTGCAAGCTCACTCAGGCCCAAGGGTGGAGGTCCAGGGCAGCTGGGTGTCAGCAGTTTGACCCATTTTGCTTCATGTTCCAGGCTGTGGCATTAAAATGATGAGTGCTGTCAACCTGAAGAGCAGCCAGTATGTCCCCATTCACAACAAGCAGATCCGGGGCCTGGCCTTCAGCAACCGCGCAGACGGCCTGCTCTTATCTGCCGCTTTGGACCACACTCTTAAACTCACAAGGTGAGTTTAATGCAGAGATGGTGGGAAAGCTGCTTTCTCCTCACGGCTTGGGAGTCGGCGTAAGGTCTTGTTTGCAAGTGACCGCTGATTTCTCTAGAGGAGTGCCATCTGAGCTCTGCTCTTGCCCTTGCAGCTGGGTATTTGCTGGGGAGGGCGGGCCAAGGGGAGAATGCGAAAAGTCACAGGTCGAGGCGTATGTTGAAGTGACCGAGGTCCTTGGCCCTTCTCTCAGCTTGACAACAAACACGGTGGTGCAGACGTACAATGCTGGCCGCCCTATCTGGAGCTGCTGCTGGTGCCTTGATGACACCAACTACATCTACGCTGGACTGGTCAATGGTTCCGTGTTGGTTTACGATCTGCGAGACACAAGTGCTCATGTGCAGGAACTTGCTCCGCAAAAGTCCAGGTAAAGCTGTAGCCTCTCACCTAGTTCTCTTGTGTTCTGTGGCTTGAGACTATAATAGATTGTCAGTGGCTATAGGAAAGTAGGTGCCACTCTAAACATTGTTCTTAATTTGTAACATCTTGCATCTCTGAATTATTTTTATTTGCCCAGTATTTGGGGCTTTAGAGAGAAACATTAACTGATGTGACTCAGGGTGAAGACCTGCGATATGGCAAGAGTGAAGCTTAGTAATTATATTCAGAACTCACTTCCAGTTCTTGATGCCTCGAACAGGGCTTCTCGGCTGTTTAAATGATTCCTAGTCACTGTGGGATCACAGGGAAAAGCCACAAAGAGACCTAATCGCTCATACAGTGGTACTTGTATTGATGACTTCCGGGGCGGGGGGCTGTTGAGTGATGTGCAAGCCAACCCTAATTATTTCCCACAGGAGTCACTTCTAGAGTGTTCGTGGTTCTTTCCAGAGAAAGCTAAATGCTCTCCCATTGATAGTCCTTGACAGAATTTATGTGAGAAAGAAGGACGGAACATTGCTTTCCCATTCTGAGGCTTCCCCATTGGTGCTGTTGAGGCTCACACTGTGAGATGAGCAGGGAGGGTGGCATTGCCTAAGAGGGCAGGCTCTTGCTTCTCTCTCTCTGTCCCGCCCAGGTGCCCTGTGGTCTCCTTGTCTTATCTTCCTCGGATGGCCTCTGCCTCCTTGCCCTACGGAGGGCTGGTCTCGGGGACTCTGGAAGGTGCCTGCTTTTGGGAACAGAAGGCCAACAGCTCCTACCGGCCTCATCACCTCCTCCTGGAGCCCGGAGGTTGCATTGACCTTCAGACAGAGGCTACCACACGGCACTGCCTTGCAACGTTCAGGCCCAGTAAGTTGGCCAATGTAAATGTTAAGGCTGGGCTCTTATACCTGGTTTGAGCACTCGGCTTCTGGTGTGGCCATTTGGACTCCCCAAAGTAAGGGCATATGTTTCTTTTCCATTAAGAAAAGAAACCCTCATTTGCGCCCGTGGTAGTTGCAGCCCCGGCTTTTCCTTTCCTTTTGTAATATTAGTCATTTAATAGTATTCCATGTGTTTGTAAACCAACTCTCCAGCCAACCGTCCAAATTACATTGAGATGATTGGGCAGTAAGAGTAAAGTCACTCTCACAAATGGGCCAGGGACATTTTATTCATCAGTATAAAGTGGGAGGGTAAGTATCGCCTGAGTTCAGGGCCTCTCTAGAAACTTGGCATTTCCCAGAAGGGGACGAGGAGGGTCTGTGCTTAAGCCTGAGCACAGTCTGAGTTGGGTTCTCTCACCTCTTCCCTTTCACCCCACAGATAGAAGCCACAACTGCTTGAGATGTGTGGTCATGGAGCTGACCTCCACACCGCTGGCAGACGGGGCGGACGATGTCATCTGTTCATGTCGCCCGGTGCAGACTCTTACTGCGGGTCCAACATGCAAACTCTTGACCAAAAATGCCATCTTCCAAAGCCCTGAAGATGATGGTAGCATTCTTGTGTGCGCTGGGGATGAAGCTTCAAATTCTGCTATGGTACGGCTTTCTTTTTTAGAGGAAAGTAGAGAACTGTTGATGTCTCTGTGGAAGCCCTGGGCTGGTGGATTGGTGCTTTAGCTGTTTTTTTAACTCCCATGCCTTTAAGACAGTGTCTTGTTCCCAAGACCTCAGAGTGGGTGTGGCCATGGAGGAAGAGCTTAAGCTGTCCTTCTTGTGAGAAGGCTGCAGCTCAGGGGTGGGCAGACGTCAGATGTGTGCAGTCTGCTCTGAGACCCAGAGTCCATCAACTGGATCCAGGGCAAAACAGTGAGCAGTCACAGAAGAGCAGAACAGAAGAGCAAGCGCAGCCCAGGGATTCATTTCCATTGGGTGTACAAATGTTCACAGACAAATTTACACAGCATACATCAGTGTCTCTGGAGTGCTTTCTCAGAGCAGAGCCTTCAGCCATCTCTTTCTTAAATGTGGGGAGGGAGGAGGCTAGGCACAGCATAGCGAGAAGGTTGGTGCTACTGCCAAGGAGGCCCGACTTCTCATTAACAATTTTCTGGCCTCCTTCAGAGTGGCCACCTAGAGAAGCATCCCCTGGGAGGATCTGGTGGAGCAGCTAGATGACTTTGGGAAAAGGCACTCCAAAATAAAACCCCTTTTCTATTTATTCTGCAGCTTTGGGATGCAGGGAGTGGTTCTCTCTTGCAGAAACTCTCAGCGGACCTTCCTGTATTAGACGTCTGCCCCTATGAGGTGAATCGGAACAGTTTCCTTGCTACGTTGACTGAGAAAATGGTGAAAATCTACAAGTGGCAGTGACTGTCTGCACTGTGCTTCTTCTGGGTGCTGATCTCTCCACAGAGCCAATTTCCTGCAAGCCAGCTTCATTCCTAACTGGGTACTAGCTGCCTTGGAAATGAGAGTGGGCTCTCCCAGCATTGCTGTATAAGCAAAACGTGGCATCTCAGGTTAACGCCATTCACCCTGTACACCTGCCAAGCCCACGCTTGTGTTCCCCACTACTGGCTTTTATTTATACAGTTATTTGTCCTTGGTCTTCCAACAAGCTGTTGGATCTTATCAGAGTATTACTGTTCTGGGGAGATTATGGATTGAGAGAGTCATTTGCCCATCAGTGTAAGAAATTTGGAAGTTATCATTGACACTTGTGAAAACTAGATGAAGATCATCTGCTCTGTCCCTGGATGCCTGTAGTGCACGTGGTGCTCCTCAGGTTGCTTCTTCTCCTCTGTTGTGGAAGGCGCTGAGGGCAGTTTGCATTTCTCCTGTAGCCTGAGCTATCCAGAAGAAGATGGGAACTTTTCTGGAATGAGCTCTTCCTGTGAACTGCTTCCTGGTCAGGATAGGGTTTGGTCACCGGCTGCTAAATTACATGTTGACTAGAAAAACATAATTGTGGCTTAGTGAAAAATCAACCACTTTAGGTACAAACCTTAGCTTTTAAGACCAAGCCGTGTTTTAGGAGATGGGTGGAAGACCTGCAGAGAAAACTGGATGGGATGTTAAGGATGAAGTCATGTTAGAAATCTACTAGCTCTTCAGGGGAAAATGTGTCTTCCTGAGCAGGTTTGTAATTCATCTTACAGTATGAGTTAAAGTGGCATGATGTGTTTAATTCTAAAATTTTGTGGAGGACTAGTAGTCTAGACGGGGTGAGTTGCAACGTAAGTTTGAAAACCTTCCTTAGCTTTGCCTGAAGCGGGTGGACATGGCATCTTTTTTGTGCTTCTTCAGCTGATGGATCGCTGTCTTAAACCAGACCACCATTTCTTAGGTTGAACTCAGTCTTCTGTCTAAAATTATATATGCTTCTATTCAGCTTTCCTTAGTTTTGTGTAGTGGTCCTGTTTCCCTTGTTGTGTCTTTTTTAAATACTACAGGAAATATGTAACTTATGGTTTTCTCAGATGGCAAAACTTTCCATTGCAGTGCCAGATTAAAAAGTGCAAAACTGTGATTCATAGGTAAGTTTAAAAAAACAGGGAGAGGTGTTGGACTGGTGGATCACACAATCTTGAAGAAACTGCTTTCTGTAACTGATACCAGATTGGGTTTTCCACATGGTAAGTTTAACTGCCATGTTTTGGGAAGAAATGTGGAACTTCACTGCTGGCTAAAAGCTGACTTTATGCCGTCTCCATCTAGGTAAAGAGAGTGAGTTTCTCTCTCTCTCTGTATCTGTGTATCTGCTGTGAGCCCTAGAATGGGGAATGTGCGGCCATTCAGCTTTTAACAGAATATCTTTCACTTTATATTAAAGTACATGACATGGAGCAAAATGTAAGTTTTCTGTTGGAATTGGGGTTACTGTGAATTTTTGTATAATAAAGACATCTCTTTTATCAAACACTCAAATGGGGCATGTTTTGAGACTATGTAGTTTGTGGCTATTTAACATTGCAGCCAGTTGCAGAACCTGCAACATGTGACACTCGGCATTGTGGGGCTTGTGAAGGAGTGGTATATCATGAGATTTTAGCTGAGGCTGTGTTAAAACCTTCACTTAACTGCTTATGAGGATAGGAGGTGCAGGTTGGACTTCCCTGTGTAAATACTGTACTTTTCTTCCCGATTACTGCTCGTATAGTGACTCATGCAAGGACTTGGGTGCTGTAAGTGCAGCCATGTGTCATTCTTATCTCATGTTGAGGGCAGGGTGGATCAAAATCAATGATTTTTAAAAATGAAATTGATTTAAATAAAAACATCTTTTTGATTACTCTGTTCAAAACTTGATTTTAAAATTTTAAATATTGATTTAAATTGTGATTTGAAGATGCTTTGAAAGAATGAATCCGTGCCGGCAAAGGCCGCAAGTGGAGAAGCATGAGGAGGGTAGGTGGTACTCTTTCACACATAGCTTTCAAGGTTTTTCTTGCGTGTGTATGTGACACACCCAGATTTCCAGATGGCAAAAGTGAGTGCTTCTTTCAATTTGCATGAACCATGGGAGTGAAAAATACAGAGGCAAGTGGAAACTCAAGAGGTGGTATGCAGGGTTACCCTCAGACTTGTAGAAGGAGATGGAAAGTTTAAACTTGACAAGGAGACCAGCCACTAAACAGAAAAATGACAATCACTGTCATTTTTGCAATGGGTAGAAGGAAGGGGAAGGGATGTGTGTGGGCAGGGATGACATGCACAGCTTTCTCATTGTTGGGCCAATTTTTCGGCTGTGGGCAGCCCTCCCTGCATGAGAAGGAGATGCTTTGAAAGAATGAATCTGTGCCGGCAAAGGCCGCAAGTGGAGAAGCAGCCGGTGTGGAAGATGCCAAAAGGTGGAAATGCGTGTGGATTCTCGAGCAATATTTTGGTAGCACTTTGCTAGTGAGGTGTACAGCACAAGTCTGATTTTTGAACTATGAGAAGGGAGAGAAAATTGATGATCCACAGGGTCCCTTCCAACTCTGTAGTTCTAAGGTGATGATGATGATTGCAGTTGTTCATCCAGTGCTAAGCAGCAAGCATGCAGGCTGCCTGGTAACTGTCTGCCCCGTCCCACTTGAGTTCTGTAAAAATAGTTCTTGATTTTGCATCTCTGCACATGCAAGTCACCCTATGGAGTTCTGTACCTATTAATTCCCCTCCTTTTTGATGATATGCAATGCACCAGCAGTTCATCCAGTGCTGGACGGGATGCTAAGCAGCAAGCATGCAGGCTGCCTGGTAACTGTCTGCCCCGTCCCACTTGAGTTCTGTAAAAATAGTTCTTGATTTTGCATCTCTGCACATGCAAGTCACCCTATGGAGTTCTGTACCTATTAATTCCCCTCCTTTTTGATGATATGCAATGCACCATTTTGCCTGCAGAGGAAATAAATGAGTTTCCAATAATAAATCTTGTCTATAAAATAACATTTTTTTTCCATCCCTTGGGTTGGTGAGTTCTGGGCGACGAAGGCTCCCTCTTAAAGTACGGAAAAAAGGGAGGGGTCGCTCCTGCTCCACCGCCAGCAGGTCCAGAAGCCATTGGGATGCAGCGGCGGTTGCTAGGCGACGGGAGCACGGGGAGAGGGCCGCCGTTCCGGTCCTCTTCCCGTAAAGAACCTCTAGGGGGCGCGGCATCCCCTCTCCTTCTGACCGATCGCTGACATCATCGGTCCGGGGGTGGCGGTTCCGGTCCTCTTCCCGTAAGGAACCTCTAGGGGGCGCGGCATACCCTCCCCTTCTGGCCGAGCGCTGACATCATTGGTCCGGGGGGTGGGGCTTGGCTCGCGC